CTTGTTCATTATTATTTTTAAAGTTGCGCTTAATTGAACATCTTCGCATAATTTGCCTTTGAAATAATCCTAACTTCCAAAGAATTAAGGCAGCTTTTGAAGTATACATACTTGGGTGGAAGTGTCAGTTCCCACTTCGAGGCTTCGATATACTCAAACTACAACTAACAACTAGCATCGAATTTAACACCCCCACAGCGAGATTGCACACAAACAACAAGCATACATCAACACCACTAAAAGTAATTAATTGCGCTATTTTAACAGGATTTAATTAAATTCACTTTCAATAAGGGCACTAAAGTGAGTTCATATTTTACACTTTTCGCGCTGGTTAACCAAATATACTTGTACAAATAACTCAACACATATTTATGTATTTACGTCTAAATGTACTGGAAAGTAATGATAATATTGAGCGCAGTGACTATGGTGGCGAATGTATGCCCAAAGGATGCAAAGCATGCTACCAAAGTTCAAAAGAAATGTTCCGGCTTACCAGTGCCCCTCCTGCGGGTCAGGTCACACCAGACAATGTTCGCAAATGTTGTAAATGTCACATGCATACCCCGGGGTGCCACGTCGCCCGCAAAAACGAAAATAATAAAGGTGGAATGCTTCATCCTAGTTGCAACTACCCAGCTGGGACGGTTGCGCAGCGCGGTGAAGGGTAAGGCGAGAAAAAGTCTAAAACTGGCTACACAACGCCGGCTGCTGCTAGCGCCAAGCTCCGTACATCTCATCATGCCATCTGCACTGTGCCCTTGTGACATTTGTTAACATTTTAATTTTCGCGCGCTACGAGTACATTACTTTTGCACCGCTGCGTCCACTGTTGGAACACAAATCCGTCAAGCGCTAAAACATCCGCGGACAGTCAGCGATGTTGCAGACGAAAGCTGCTGCGCGCTGATACACGGCACATGCTCATAGCACGAATAAATGTATAAAATATATAAATATATATATACCATATACACATATGTATGTATATACAATAGCTGCAACACAGCTGAGACATCGGTTCGGGCACTCATTCAACAGCATCGGATTTCATTTGGTTTCTCTAGAGTTTAATTACTATAATTATATCTGGGAATGGGACCCGTAAGCGCAGTAGCATTTGCCTTGAGCAATGTTCGAACGGTTTATTGCACGATGGGGCGTTGTGTGTTGCTGCCGATGGCAAAGGTCCGCAAATGGAACTACATTGAGCCCAACTTTGATATTAATTCGTTAGTTTGTATGTATACTTTTATGATTACGTCTGCATTCATTTACAAAGGCACTTATTAAAATTGGTATCTATGTAGTAATCATTTACAGTTATAATAGTTAATAAATGATTTTGATACTGACGTACGAATAGTAAGTGTCTCGCCAAGTTACAGCTACATGACACTTACCTACAACATTAACTAAAAAGAACAATATTTTGCGATATAAAAAAGAGTATTTCATCTTGGTAAACCAAATAAGTAATGGTGTAGAAAGTAGAGTACTATTTTAACCATTTGGTTATTGAATCTGTTCATTACTAACGATATAATATGATAAAAGTAATACCGATACCTTGGTTATTACTCTTTAGTAATATATAGAACTCAATACCAAATATCACAAGCTCATCAAGACCTTTTCAAATTTTATACAACAGGTACATATTATGATTCGAAACACTATCAAACCAAAATGAGAAGCGATATCGAAAATCTTAAATTACGGCTAAGGTCCTTTGGAAGTATTAAAGAGCTATATATAAATATAATATATTTTTCATGTGAGAAAAACACTGGGAGGTTTGACATTGGTGTACTCTTTTATAAACTAGCGGATCCGAAAATGAGATACTTTAACATATTATATTATGCATATAATATAGTGTATTAAACATTCGGAGGCGTCAAAGCTAACCCTAATAAAGTAATCGGTGTTTTATTTAGATGATAATTACCAACCGATTGACACCAATTATATGTATGCATTTGATTTCGTTTAGATATCGCTCTTGCAACCTATTGTGAACTCCGGATCCAAATAGAGGAAACTAGTTTTAGGTTTCTCATGACTTCTGTTTTCTTCATGCCAATGATATTGACAGTCTTAAAACTGTTAAAACGTCTTGGTTATTTATTTATTTATTTCTTGCAATCTCTGAGGGCAAAATCAGTTCTTAGATTACTTTATGCTAGGGTCTAGGAGAATAAATGAAGCGAGATCAGTCATATCAAGTAACAAAGGAGATCACCAAATTTTATTAAGATTACCATGCACTGACATAGTATATAAGTATATCCACATTTATTACACTCGGAAACAGTATCTTTGTTTTATGAAGCTTCTTGCCCCATTTTGTTTTCAAAATATGAACATATTACATTTTTAGCCAAAAATACTACGATTTTAGAATTAAAAATATATTGCTCTTACTTAACATAAAAATAACTTTCTTCTATGTGCTTTTCTTGCATGAGTAGAAACATCAGTCTTGTTTTGAATGCTTGAGCAGTAATCATCCATCATATTTACATTCCTACGACTCTGGTATCGCTCTTCCATAGTGCGAATATGCTGATGTAAGCGTTCTCCTTGTCGACGTCTCCTTCTGGGTGTTACAAACTTCGTGGCAAATGTAATATACCCTATTCAGGGTATAAAAAATAAAATTATCTGCAACTCAACGTGAAACTATGGAAATTGGTGAATCGCACAAACAACTGGTATATATTAAATATATTGATATACTCAATTAAACAACTGGTATATAATAAATATATTGCTATATTCAATTAAATACATATTTAGGGTATTCAAAAGGTGTCATATTGTCTTATTTTTTATGATTGTCATGTCAACACTGTTGTTGTTTCCCACGCAAAATTGAAAACAAAGAAAACACGGCGAGGTATGCTGTCCTATCAGATGTATCTGTTTACTTTTTTATTCTTGACGTTTAAGTGTCTAAAATAAATAAAATATATAAATTTCAGCAATTTCTTTAATAATATGGAAGGAAACCACAATATTCAGGTAAATTAAGTTGAAGAAAAGTGAACTATAAAAATATTTTGTTGTTTCTGTGGTTGCCATATAAACCAAAATGCCGCGGTTCAACATTAAGAAGCTTTAATTTTATTTTTGTCACTTTCTCATGGCATTTTTGTATTCGTAATTTTTCACTACCAGCTGATGAAGGTATGACATACTTGTAAGATATAAGACGAATCTTGTGAATTGCCTAATTATAACGAAGTTATACTACTTCAATGAGCTATACCGTATAGCAATAATACAGTGCTCTTGAGCCAAAAAAGAAGTTGATTGAAGACGCCTGTTAAGTGTGTGAGAAATCGATTTAATGCCCAGAATTTCAATAATGCCAAACGATATTTTCAATTAATATTTAAGGTATTGTAAATAATAAAGCAATATATTACATAATTGATATTGTTTTTCATTAAAATAAAACTAGTTTATTTATGTGATTGCTTACGAAATAATGTTTTGCATAAAGTGTTGCAGGATTTTAGAAATTAGTATGTAGAACTAAGCCCTGACAGTAACTAAAACTCTCTATGTTTTATATGAGAAGTAATCTAGTGTCAATTCAAGCAATACCTTATAATCCTTTTAAATGAGCTTGCAATATACACAGAAAAATTTTTTATTTATTTAATATTTCAACTTCTATTTCATATTTTCACCAGAGGAATTAAAATTCAACTTTTAGTGTTTAATACATATGTAAATATTACAAGTTTTCAAGAACATAATGTTTGCTTTTATTTTAATAATTTATCCACTACACCTTGACGAGTGCGGATCAAATAAACTGAAGTATAAAAGAAAAGTTCAGAAGAATCGAGGACCGTTTTATTAGAGATACATACAAGTATATGTATACTTTATTTATGAGAAATACAAATGAATTCAGTCACTCTTAGTTGTATGGTTAATTCTAACAGATCTCTTAAGCACCATTTTTTTCAGCATAAGTAGACTATGACTCTTTTCTAAAAACAAGCACTAAATGTTGGTTTCCAACTCCTCAATCTGAGCTGTTTCATTAGACCATTGACTTGGAAACTATTTTAACGGAGACAAATAACATACGCTAGCTAGGCAATTGACATCTTGATTTCTAGCTCAGATTAAATTCGCCAAAAACTCTTTCAATTAATCGAGAATGAATTGGGTAGCGCTAACGATTGATAGTAACGTTGGCTTCATCTTAAGTCTTGTAAAATAATGGACTAATAATAACTTGTGCATTTGGTGCCTTTAAGTCTTGCAGAGGTGTGACTCGCTGATGTGTGCAAAGAGCTTTTAAACTTTGCCGAATAGAACGGTAGCTTTGGAAAAGAATGTTCAGGATTTTTAAAAGATGTTCCATTGTAAGCCTTCGCCTCGTAATTTGCCAAAAGACACTAAATATAAATGTCAAACTAAATTTGGTGACAGCTCGTTTGACAGCTATCTCTTTCGGAAAATCTGTAGCTCTATAGCTCTAAAGCTTTATAGCACTTTTAAATTAGTACAATACTTTCACCTACTTCTCTTTTTTAAGCTCTTTATTTTTGATAAAGACTTAAACTATATGCTTTGGCTCAGTGTATAAGTTTTCTCTGTATGCCAAACTTTGTTCTTTGATAAATTCCACAAAATTCATATGCACCGGTCAGAGCTAAATACACAGCTATGCAACTCACACACCAAAACGGTTATTTGCTTTGAACTTACGAACGTTTGTGGCCGTTATATTATATATTGGTATTAAAGTTGGTGGCGAAACTATAACCCTTAGTATTTACAAACTGTGTATGTGTGGTCGACATTTTTCACAGCGGTTAAAAAAACCACACTTACAAAACGGATTTTGTTTCAGTTTGGCTTCTCTTATCCACATATTCGCTGAAAAGCCAACAACATATTTACCCATACACTCTTGCATTCTACTTACTTGTCTCAAATATTGTCAATTTTTTCCTCTTGCCTTATAGATTTCAATATGCAAGCTGAAGCTGCTATACCCGAGGATATTTTGGACCAACAACACATACAAGATGTCGATGCTATTGATGCGGACAGTACGCAATATGTTGGAGATGACGATGAGGATGTTGAACCCGAAGCTGATATTGTAAGTAGAGTAAGGTCGAAACCTAACACAAAAACATAAACTTTTAATGCATGCTACAAGTACCATTAAGTGAATCGAAGGAACTCGTATGTACAAACCACTGCAAAAATGCTAAAGAAGAGTAAGAAAAATCTATCTGTAACCTTTTCAAGCACCAGAATGCATGTTCTGCAAGCAATTTCTGAACCTCCCTTCCACATATTGCTTCAAGTATAATTGAATGGGTTCAAGATACCAATGTATTGGAGAAAAGTCGGACTATAACCGCAACAGCATACAACTTATTTAATGGCTATTGATATACATATATTTAAAACTCATAGAAAATGAGTTAAATCAAAAAAAAAAATTCAAAAGAAACTAAATGGCAGTCTCAACTCAGTTCTTAATACTTGCCCATTTTATATGCGAAATCAAGAATGGCTAAAAGAAAAAAGCTAACCACAACTGATGGAACTATATATTTCAATAGGAAATTCTATTTAATGCAAGCACGCCTTCAATTTAAACTAAAAGTATATTCCATCACCTATTTTCTAAACATAGTAAGAAATTTGGACAAAACCGGTATAAAGTTGGGCTACTCCCAAAGGAACGAATATAAACAAGTAAGGAAGTTCTAAGTTCGGGTGTAATCGAAGATTTTATACTCTCGCAACTTGCAAGGGAAACTACATCAGGTGTTGGCAAAATTTTATATTAAGGGGAGTATTGATCCGATTCAACCCATTTTTGACACAAAAACATACTATTGTCGAGAGTTTCATTTATTTACTTTATTATATGAATTTCAATTAATTATCATACACATTGAACGGTATTTTTGGTAAAAAGTCAACTATAGGTACTGGGTACCACATATTCAGTATCTAGGGGCTTGAACAGTTTTGGTTCAATTAAGACAATTTTTGGTCAGAAGGTGGCATACTTTAAACGCATTATTCACGCAAAGTTTTACCCCGATACAATCATTGTTGCTTGATTTGCATAATGGAAAGTGAAATAATCAGATGGAATTTAAAATGGTGTTATATGGGAAAAAGGCGTGATTGTAATCCGATTTTCGCCCATTTTAGATTCATTGCTATACTTGGAACATAGAAATATGAGAAGAATGTTATGGACGAATTTGGTTGAAATCGGTTAAACAGATCCCAACCTATGGGGTTTCACCAAAAAGCGGCCGGTGCCACGCCCACGGTCTAACTTTGAACGCGGTTCCTATAAAGTCATCTCATACCATCCCAGAGATAAAATTTAATGTCTCTGGCGTGTTTAGTGCTTGATTTATCGCGCTTTTAGTAGTTTTTAACAGTACCGTTATATATGGAGTGGGCGGGGTTGTCACCCGATTGCACCCATCTTCACACTGTCGATAGAGGTGCTAAAAACATTTGTTCTCAGTGAATTTCGTTACATAGCTTAGTGGCTTAAGACATATACACATTAAACCTATTAGGGGGCGGGACTACGCCCACTTCTTAAAAGAATTTTCAACTGCAGATGACCCTCCCTAGTTTGATCCTGTATACCAAATAACAGTATTGTATCTTATTGTGGAGCTTTAATATGACAATTTATTTGTTTTTAATTTTTTTTTGTGAGCGTGGTAGTGGTCCGATTAATATTAGTAAGCAATATCAACCGTCTTACGGTATCAAGAAACATGTGTACCAAATCTCATAAAGATATCTCAATTTTTACTCAAGTTACAGCTTGCACAGACGGACAGACAGTCACCCGGATTTCAACTCGTCTCTTCATCCTGATCATTTATTTATAAGTATATAATCCTATACCTAACTCGATTAGTTTTAGGTAATACAAACGACCGTTAAGTAACCAAAACTATTATACTCTGTAGCAACATGTTGCGAAAGTATAAAAATGCACCGACAAACAAATAAGGAAGGGTAAGTTCGGATATAACTGTATATTTAATACTCTCATAATTTGCAACCATCAAAGCGTGTATATATTTTCAAGTGTTGGCAAATCTTTATATTAAAAATGTTGCTCAAGACATTCATCATTCGGTGAAATTTTGATTGCCTTAAAATCATACTTTCGAATTATCAAAATCAATCTAAATAACTCAAACAAATAAGATATAGGTACATACATATGTGACATAAACTCAACCAATGAGGATACATTTAATATGGGTATACATATAAGAAAAAGGTCAACCAATCGGAAATTATTATACGAGGAATATGAGGTTCAGGCTAAGGTCTAGACCAATTTTCTTCATACGCAGCGCTAAACTTTCCATATCGGATATATTGAGGCTAGAAGAAGGGACTATTCAAGTATACTCGACAACATGCTTCTATGTTTTAGCTAGCAGTTATATTATTAAATATCGAACGACAAATTCACCAAAAAGTCTGCTGGAATAACGGAAATCTTTTGATGGAAGTTGGGGTAATACGCATATCGATTTCATACATTTAAATATTTTCTAAGATATTTTACATATTGACCGATATATACGGTACAAACTAAACGGATGTATGAAAATCTTTATGTTAGGTATATGAAGGATAACGGAATTACTAACCGATTTTATCAATTTTCGACGTAAGAGAACATTTTTCCTATAAATTTCATTAATTGACTGTTATTTTCCGCAAATAGTCAGATAATTAAAATTGTGATATATTGGATGTAGTAGGCGTGGCTGTAGACCGATTCTGTCCATTTTCAGAATGTAAGATATCGCTATAATGTTGTATACCAAATTTGGTTCAAATTGGATTGAATACTACCTAAATTACTTCGGTATTTATTGCGGACCTATCGGACTTTAACGCACAGAAGCGTTATACGAGGGTGGGTGTAGTTATCAAGTGACTTCAACTATTTTCATAGTGTTTTTAAAAAATTTCAGTGCACTTTCCATATTTCGATGCCTTATACAAAATTGCAGTATCTTTGTTTGTGGCTTAATTAAACCCCTTTATAGTTTTGTGGGCGTGGAAATATCCCAATTCCTTTCCAGAGGTTGACAATTACATTTTAATGAAGGGCCTTATTTCGAGATCGTTTAATTAGATTTATATTTTATTTATCACAAAAGGAGTCCGATTAAATTCTTCAATATTGATTGGTTGGATGAAAAGGGAGGCCAGACCACTTAGGCTATCATTAGGTCCATTGTGCTCCTGGATGGTAACCAAATTAAGCTTTATCCAGCAACTCAGTAGCTTTGGTAAAAAGCCTGATTTTTTTTCACCTCTTGTGTCCTGTCTCTTAAGTTAGAGCTATGGGTGCCGAAGTATATCCTTCTCATCCGGCTGAAGGCTGGGCAATCGCAAAGATGATATTCCACCTTCTTATCTTCCTTCGCGCGTGCTTTACATGTCCATTGTTTCAAAAAACCTCTAAAGGGTCTGAATTGTTTAGGCAGGTTAATCAATTATGTATCTAGTATAGCATTATTTGGGGTTTAGCTCTCCATCAGAAGGTTTATGGACTTGCTGGTTAAAACAAAAGCTAACTACACCTTCTGTTATATCAACAGTTTTGGTCTAAAAGGCTGGATTGTAGTCAATTAGTTTGAAGCTATCTTCTGCGTATGGATTTCTATTCCTATTTCACCCATTTATCCGTCGGTAAGTATGTACATATATTTCGCCTTTGGAACTGTCGATCACAGAATACACAGGTCCATACTTCTCTACTGGAGAATGAAAACGTTGTGGTAAACTCTTCATTGATTTTCTTTTCTTGATCGCATTGCTAATTTAGCTTGAGTTCATTTACAAGGTCCAGTATGATACCATGCTGACTGACCGTAAGCATTGCCTCATACTTCACTTGAATGTATTGGTATAATATCGAGGATAACCTCTAGAGTTTTTGTTTATATAGTTTTGATTGTCACTACCAAACTATCGCATCGCACCATGTGTTAGTATGGGAGAGATGACACTTGTTTAGAGCCAATAGGCGTGGTGAGTTTGTAAACCACACTTTGGGGTAATGTGTCTTCGGCAGGAGTTCCAGACTTAAAGGGCTTTGAAGGCCCTGCTCTCCATGTTTTCTCTCCAGCTACGTTTTTTAACTAGAATAACTCCGAGATATTCGGCAGAGCTCGAAAGTACAATACTCGTAGTTCTACCCTTTAAAGAGGGGAGATTGAAATGTAAAATTTTTTGAATGTACCTTCTACGTCATTAATGCGACTGGGTGAATTCTCGTTTTTCTAAGGAACTTTTAATCGTCCAAAATACCACATATAGGGCGGTATTAACGGATTTCTCTTTGAAGTACGCGTGCTGCCTACTCGGTTTTACTTTTGGCCTATGAACATTTGAAATTTCGGTTTTCATGTTCAATTGGCTACAAAATTGTATTTTCTTAAATTGAATTATAATATATGGTACATAATTGAGATTCTTGCCTCTTCCACTTTGTCTTCAGTTTAGGCATGTACTGTCCTTACACCAACTTTCCAAATCAACAAACCTACGAACCAGTAATGTATAGAAATATCAAGCTTTGATTAAATTCTATGATTTTATATGTCGATTTCGGTTAGCTCCATACTAAAGTACACTGAAAATGTATGTAGTTATATACCAAGTTGTGGTGGCCATCACGAATGTGCACTTGCAGCTAGGAGCAAACTATTGTTTAACATAAGCTTCTTAACCATGAAAAGTTTATCAAAAGAAAACAAATCGTAAAGTACTCGAAATAAAAATAAGCTTAAATAAAATACGAAAGTAAAGTGCATGAAAGAAGAGCAGTCAGTTAGAAGTCAGTTTTCGAACAGCACGGCACCAGAGTACTATAGCCGTGGTAGGTTGAAGGGCAAAAGTTGTATAACAATGTACACAAATGCGATGCGTGTTGAATGCAAGGCGAGGATGAGGAAAAATAACTATTTCTAAAGAAATTTATGAGCTCATGCCAAAAATTTAAACTATTCAATACAAAATATAAACAATGCCATGCTCTTGAGTTTAATAAAATCAAAAAAGATAAATTAAGAGATGAAAGACTTTAAGGACAACGGGAAAAGTCAAAGCATGTACAACGTATGCATATGCATATGCGAGGGTGCTCCAAAAATTATTTGGCCTACAAAGAAAACCCGAAATTTTCGGAAAAATAGTTTTAGCGCTGGCCCAGCGATTCTTCAACTTATTTAACTCGCCTAATTAACACGTTTTCTAAAGGTCTTCAAAATGGATCTCTGTTGCGACGATAACCTCCTCACGTCACAAAAAGAAGTGGTAGAGAGATTAAGAAATATGGCTTTTACTACAAAAAAATAAAAAGTAAAGTTGAAGACCGTTCTCGATGGCAACGAAAACGAACAATGAAGTCGAATTTCAATAAAAAGTGGTTTTCTTTAAAACAATATGCGTTTTTCATCTCACATGTTTCACATATAAGTAATAATACAATTAAAATAATGTATGGAAATTAAACGTATTTTTGTAACCAGTTCCACTTGCTTTTATAATCGAGCGAAACTTGTTCCATATTCCACAGTTTCTGGATGGCTTATTATGAAATATTTTACTACCAAGGTATCTTTGCAGCTTTGCACTACTTTTAACTGACTTTTGCAAGGTCGAACGGAGCCACTTGAGTCCTAGTCCCTGTTGGGAACCAAATGTAAAAAGTGACGTGTGAGCCCAATATTGCGGTGCGATACTGTTTATTTGAAGATAGGGCCCTCCCCATTCAATTATTTAAAAACACAAACAATTATGTTTACATACATACCTATGTAAATACATATATTCGTCTTTCAAATATTAAACTCGGGTTTCCTTAATATGATAAAAAAAACTTAAAACTTATGTTCACACTAATTGTTTACCGTAAAAATGCAATGCGTAATTTTAGCTTAAAAGCTATTAAAATATAATATTACAATTTTTCATTTTATTTCAATTTCCGATATAACATTAAATTTCCTTTGCTGACTCAATTATTTTTTTCTCTCGCTTATTTTCAATTTATGCAGATACTTGCAGCGCAAAAATTCAGCACATCAGAAAGCAGTCGTGAGAAAGTAGAATATTACGAGCATAACAGTAACAATCGAGACAATAAAAACAAAGGCAGCAACGAAAAAAGCGCGCAGCTAAGGAAAACTATAAGAAAGCGAAACAACAAATTGAAAAACAGTGATGACAGAAAATATAACAGTGACAACACATCTGTCTACAATGATGATGATTCCATAGATGAAGCGAATGCGTCGGACATCACGGCTGAGGAGCCAATGGCGCTGCCCAGTGTGAGTGAAGCAAGGCAAAGTTTTATATTGACGCGACATCCAAGAGGACAACAAAATCACAAATTAATAGCAGCAGAGGACGCACGGAGTTATGAAGAGCAGAGCTGGGACGTGAGCGGGCGGCATCAGCAATTTATTGAAAACTTAGTTGCAGAAAAATTTAATAAAGCAACGGGACAAACAGTAAACAATGATGACAAAGCGAACGACAACATGCACAGCAGCAGCAACAATAACAACAATACGGACAATACCGGTATCAATGGAACTGCTGTTGACGAGCAAAGCGAAAGCATCAAGAACCCTGCTATCTATAGAGGCAACAATATGAGTAAACAAGTAAACAATAAATCAGAAATGGGGTACACGGACGATAATCAACCGGAGGAAACGGCGATCGGCGATATCGAGGACAAATTTCGTAATGAAGAAGACGTTGTAGGGCAGCAACAACAGCAGCACTTGCAAAAGGAACTGGTCGGCCATCAAACTGCATCGATTGTCAAGCAAAACCGAGGCGGGAGGGCAGAAATGAGGCTAGCACCTATGAAGGGTAAACATGTAGAAGAAGATTATCGACAAATTAAAAAATTCAAGCGAAATGAAAGAGCCAGTAGCAACAGCTCAAACGACCATGCTAACAAAAACAACAAGAATAAAAATAATGACAACAACAACGGACACTCTTATAAACGCCATCACCACGGCGAACTCTCTCACATCGAAGGCGAATATGAGGCAAACACGTCCACGCAAGTGTCAGACGCAGAGAAAGTTGAAACGTCTGAAAATCAACCCAAGCATGTGCAACAAAAACTTCCGCAGCACGTTGAAGTTGCTGACAGCGTTGGCACGGTGGCAGAGCCACAAGCCGATTACTCAATAACCTATTTTGGCATCTTAACAAACAGCTCGGAGAAGCGCGAAAAGGCATTCGCTGAAGAACAAGCAGATGCGGATGAGCTCGAGAATACCAACGGTAGCTTGGCCAAGACAGCAGACATTGTTACAAAAATTGCTGACAACGATGATGCGGCCCAACTTGGTGCTGTTCATGCAATACGAAATCACTTGCAGCTAGAACAACAACATTCGCTAACGGGTAAGTGTTGACGTTGGTTTTGCCAAAAAACAATTGTTGTACCAGCATATGTATATACATGAGGATGTGTGTGCGGTTGCCTTGGATGTTTAGACAGTATAAAATATCTCGTATGTATGTGTGGGCTTGTGTGTACATTTGCGTGTGAATTTAAGCACTTTGTTAGTTTATTGTTTTGCAAGTATTCGCTGTGCGATCGTGTTGAAGTTGTTGGTTGTCTTTAAGTTGCTCTCAGCCAAAGTTTGTTTAATTCGGGAAAATATTTGGAAAGCAATATTTTGCGAATGAAATCTGTATGAACAATATTGCGGGTTATCGGTTTGCTGCTTTCGCACAATTTTGGATTTTGTTTTGATTTAGTATTGCTTTTTTGTGTGAGAGCTCAGCAAAACTTACAAACCTTTCAATGTAAATTTTCTTTGTTGTAAACTGTTTATGATTATTGCGAGTTAAAGCGTAAAAGTTGCACGTCAATCTGGAGCTCACCACTTTCACTGTGCCTTACAGCACGGGCTTTCGAGTGTTCTGCTTCTCGGGCAGACTAACCTGATGATATTGCTGGGTATTCTAACTATATTCGTGCGGTTTGTCTATAGGTGGCGTAACTTGATTATTATTCCGAACAAGTATTGGAATAAATAACAATCATTTCACATCACAAACTTAACAGGGTATATTAGGTTTGGCACGATGTTTGTAACACCCAAAAGCTCAGAGTTATTGGTAGCCCGCAGGTTTATCAGCAAAAAGCTGCTCATTTGTCGGAACAGCCGATATTGGACCACTATAGAATTTACCTGCTATACATACTGAACTATCGGAATTAAATTCTTTTTATTTCACAAGATATCTTCACGAAATTTGGCCTAAGTCACTGTTGCAATCTCTGAGAAAATTGATCACATCGAATCAATATATCATAGAGCTATTATAAAAACTGACCGATTAAAGTGAACGATGCAACCGAATGCAAATATGTTGAACATGTGCCTGAAAAAGTATTTTTGCGGGGAGTTATTTTTCAGTACTGTTATAGATGTAAGAAACTCTCCGCAGAAAGTATTCGTATTTTGGTGAAAGGCTACTTGCGCGATGTAAAAGTGGTGAGTTCGGCTTAGAAGACTAACCTGGAATTGAAGCTACGGGACGTTGAAAGACGATTTTGCTTATCAGAAGTGCTGCTTGAACGCTAAAAAAAGTTGTTATTTTTGCATTGGATTGTGACTGTTGATGAAAATAGGTATTACGACAACCCTAAACGCAAAAAATCCTTCTCCTCCTCCCCCTTAAAACGTGTCATGAATGGCTATGTTAAGATATATGTAACTTGATCGTTGCGAGGAGCCAAAATTGCTCTATCACTGAGCCACTGTTGGGTGTTGAAATTAACTTTAATTTTATTGAATATGCTGTTTAAAACATCATTCACCGATTCCATCAAGTATCAATAATTATACGGAAATATTATTGAGTAATTGCCTGGCATATTCATGAATGTTTCTTTTTAAAAGCAGCTAAGAAAACTCGTGTTATGATCTGGCACCTTGGAGATGAACGCGCTTATTATTGACAGTGAATGATCTCTTCTCCATAAATATGTTGATTTCAATGTTATTATAGGAAAAACTAAATATTTTACTGAACTGATACCGAACAAAACAAAATAATTTCGTCGTTGCACAAAATGTTGCGAGGGTATAAAAATAATCACTCCAACTTATTAAAGAATATTTGTCTCTCCCGGAGTTTTCTTTAATTGATGCCACAATTAAATATAAAAAAAGTTAAACTATTACTCCTCACTGCCTCATCACTGTAACCTTGTGGTGGTCAGAGGACAACATCAAATACGTACTAAACCAGCATTTAATTTATTTCCATTTTAAAATTTGAGCTTTAAGGGATAGATTGTAATAAATAATGTAGCTAATGTAGAACCATCTATACTCGTGTTTTCAAACAATGCCTAGAGTGTTGTTCCGAGTAAATTTATACGTAAATGCATACTTCTCTGCGCTACAAAAACACCACAAAGTGGCGTGAAAATAATATACAAAATAAATATTACAAATTGAAATGCTGCCAATGAGTATTCCTTTGTGAGCGATTGTGAAAGCGAGACACGTTGCGACAGTACATTGGCACAGTTTGCCATTACCACTTCCTGTGCCATATAGAATCGTCTGTAGACATACATATATTATATAACGAGTATACAAAGCGTATGCACGACGTCAGCTTGAATCCATTTGGTCTGCGGATTGCACACTAGCAGTACATCAGCAAAATGTAGCCAAAAGTAAAGACACACCATCTATTGTGGCCTACGTGCCGATATGTGAATTATGTAATTCGCCGTTTTGCAGGGCATCAAAATGATTCACATAACCGTATACGTTCCTCTCGAATCACCGCCAACCGATCAATAACGTAGAGAAATTTCGGCCCATTCGTATGCCAAATGACGGCCGTTAACGCACTTAAAACGTCGCCACATTTTCCACGTACCAAAGCTGCTTATGCACATCTTATTGCCACATCTTATTGGCGTATTTCAGTGACTTTATTTGTGTGCTACAACTGCTTATAGTTTTGGTTAGTTACAAAGCATTTTTGCTCATACGCAGTGTTGAACGGTATGTGATTTGCTGATTGACAGCGGGACGTGCGGGTAAACCGCAACTGCTTCCTACCCTGTATATGGCTTAATATTGCTCAATTGATATTCCGCTGAGTTTCTAGCACCGTGGAAAGCGTGTGGTGTGTAAAGCGCGAAAATAGAGTACAGTCTTTGGAGAAGTAATGTACGACTTAGGGAGTCGATAAGAACTTGTAATTTTATATTAAGATATCTGATTGAATGGAGCCAAGCTCACTTGCTCACTTAGTATATTCGGAAATATATTACATAATTTAAGTAACGAATACTGACACTGTAGATCTCGAGAAATTTTTAAAAGTTTAATATGGTATTAAAATGGTCTGAAATATTATATATTATACTCTTGCATCATGTTGCTACAGAGTGTAATAGATTTGTTCACCAACCGGTTGTTTGTATCACCTAAAACTAATCGCGTTGGATAAAGAGTTATACCTTTATATAAATGATCAGGATGAAAAGACGAGTTGAAATCCGGGTGACTGTCTGTCCGTCCATCTGTGCAAGCTGTAACTTCAGTAAAAATCGGAGTATCTTCATGAAACTTGGAAGACATGTTTCTTGGTACCGTAAGACGGTTGGTATTGCAGATTGGCGTAATCGAATCACTGGCATGCCCACAATACGCCATTAATAAAAAAATAAAAAATAGATTGCCATAACTAAGCTCTGCAATAAGATAAAATACTGTTATTTGGTATACAGGATCACATTAGAGAGGGGCATCTGCAGTTTAAAATTTTTTTAAAAGTGGGCCTGGTCACGCCTTGGTCACGCCCACTAATAGATTTAATGTGCATATTTCATTGGACAGTGGTCGTGGCACCTCCAACTTTTAGGTGAAAACCCATATCTTGGGATCTGCTTAACCGATTTCAACCAAATTCAGTGCATAACATTATGCTCATATTTCTATGTTATAATGCGTAAATGGGCGAAATCCGACTACAACCACGCCTACCTCCCAAATAACACAATTTAAATTCCATCTGATTCTTTCACTTTCCAGTATGCATATCAAGCACCAATGAATATATCGGATAAAACTTTGCATGAATAGTGCTTTTAAATTGGGCAACCTAACTACCAAAAATTGACTAAATCGGACTAAAACTCTTCAACCCCCCATATATTGTGAATATGTGGACCCCAGTTCTTAACGCGAACATTTGATCAAAAATATCGGTCAATCTGTGAGATATGTTATAGAAATTCAAAGATTATTATTTTCGAATAATAATATACCTGTGTGTCAAAAATGAGTTGTATCGGCTCAATAATTCCTTTAGCCCCAAATACCTAGTGGAATGATTTTCGAACCACGGGCTGAGTTTATACCGAAACAAGAAAAAACGTTAACTTCGGTTGCGCCGAAGCTATAATACCCTTCACAAATACAAAGGCCCCTTGCAAGAACTTGATTCCGAACGTTCAATTTGCATGGCACCTATATGATATAGTGATCTGATCTGACCAATTTCTGTGGAGAATAATTTGTTGCCTTAAGCAATAACTCGTGCCTAATTTCGTGAAGATACCTCGTCAAATAAAAAAATGTTCCATGCAAGCACTTTACTCCGATCGTTCAGTTAATATGAAAGCTATATGCTATAGTCACCCAATCAATACAATTTCTTCGAGGATTGGATTAATGCCTTAAATAATAATCCATGTCAAATTTCGTGAAGATACCTCGTCGAATAAAAAAATTTTTCATGCAAGCACTTTACTCCGATCCTTCAGTTAATATGGCAGCTATATGCTATAGTCATCCGATCTACACAATTTCTTCGGAGATTAGAGTAATGCTTTAAATAAGAATAGATGCCAAATTTCGTGAAGATACCTCTTCAAATGAAAGAGTTTTCCATACAAGCACTTCATTCCGATTGTTCAGTTTGTATGGCAGCTATTAGCTGTAATCATCCAATCTATACAATTTCTTCGAGGATTGGATTAATGCCTTAAATAATAATCCGTGTCAAATTTCGTGAAGATACCTCGTCAAAGGAAAGGGTTTCCCGTACAAGCACTTCATTCCGATTGTTCAGTTTGTATGGCAGCTATTAGCTGTAATCATCCAATCTATACAATTTCTTCGAGGATTGGATTAATGCCTTAAATAATAATCCGTGTCAAATTTCGTGAAGATACCTCGTCAAATGAAAGAGTTTTCCATACAAACACTTGATTCCGATTGTTCAGTTTGTATGGCAGCTATATGCTATAGTGGTCCGATATCGGTCGTTCCGACAAATGAGCAGTTTCTTTGTTAGAAAAGGACAGGTGCAAAATTTCAGATCGATAGCATAAAAACTGAGGGACTAGTTTGTATATATACAGACAGACGGACAGACGGACATGGCTAAATCAACTCAGCTCATCATGCTTATCATTTATATATATATTTTATAGGGTCTCCGACGTTTCCTTCCTGAATGTATGAAATGTTCGGTTACACCAGAACTTAGCTCTTCCTTACTTGTTTTAATATATTTTCAAAAATGTTTTACTATGACCGAAATATTGATTTAAGGCTCTCAAATTTCTTAGAGCTTCACTTATTATTCGGCAAATCATAGTTTAGAATTAATAAATATTATACTCTATCAGTAAAGATTTTAAAGTCGTTTTGATAATCTAACGAGGTATTCTAGGGCATGAGTTCGAGGTCTACTTTCAGTGGCTATAAAAAACAAGTATATATCGCCACCACTTTCTTAACAAGATATTTATGATTTAACAATACATTACAAAGTGAAAGAAAAAGTGAAATGAAAATGCTATAATTGGTTTCCGAATATATAGCATAATATGAAATTAAGAAGAAAAGTTTTTTTCCCAATTACATTTGTCTGTTTGTTTTTGAATTTATTAGACTGAATGATAAGTAAAATCAATTGGTTTCAACTACTCAACAAAAATAAATACAATCAACGTTTCTAGTTTATAAAAATTTAATCAACAAAAATGCTCACGATTTCTGCTTTTTTCTCTTTTTCTTCCCCTCTACAACCTGGTGTCCATGCAAACAATACATAATTAAAACTTGCACTCGCATACAAAATCAATTACAAACAACAAAAATTATCTACCCTATTGCAATGTAGGTAAAGTGTCCAATGCTGACGAGCCTTATGTAGCCTCAGCCTTTGAGCGTTACAAGGCGCAACGTCGGAACAGTCGACGCTATGGACATAAAATGTACAAGAAAAAATATAAGGATTACCTGCGTCATGCAACGATAGCCTCCTTGACAGCTAAAGCGATGACAACAGCAATTGACGCAGCAACAACAACAGCAACGCCGTACATGTCGACAGGATTGGCGCCTATGGGAAATGCATTTGAAATGAGTGCTAAGCACACACTCAATTCAACACAGACGAAGTTGATAAATGACAACTACACCGATTACTATCGGAAACAACAACAAACCAGAGAAAATGTTGCTAAGGCCAGAGATCAAAAACATTCAGAAATGTTAAGAAAATATGCAAGGAAAATTGAAGTGGAAAAATCACGTGGATTACCAGCATCACCAATATTTGTTGTAGGCAATCAGACTGCTGCTGTGTTGGCTACAAGCGGAGCGAACAGCAAAAGGCGCATAGGTGGAGACCCAAATCATTTTTACGAAGGGCAGGTAAACTATTACTTAGAGACGGATGACGACGAGGGCATGCAGACTAAAGCAGTGTCGATGAAAAGCTACAAGCCAACAGGCGTCGAAGGGGAGGGCACGAGTATTGCAGAGATAAGGCTGTCTAGAGAAGACGAGGAGCGTTTGCGTGCGCACGAACGTAGCATGGAGCACATGATAGCAGCGGACAATAATAACTGGTACCGTCGTGTAAGCCCAGTGTTACGTAATGGTATTAAAGTTTACAGCAACGAAGATAAAGTGCAGCGTGAGAGATCAGCCAGCCACCTTTCGCTTGTGCAGAAGCAACAGAATCATCAACACCAGCAGCGACAACACGCCGCAAAACCACATCAGCATTATCACACACATCATGGAAAGCATCAGAACCAACATCATCGACAACACGGACAACCATATCAGCATCGACAACAACACCACGACTCACATCAACATAGAGGTGGCAGCAGTAATCATCACAAGCATCATCAAAATAGTAAACATTATCAATCAAGCGACAGACAGCTCCAGCAACAACATCGAAAAGATTCCGATGAACGAAAACTACTTGATCCGCCCTCGCCGCACGCCTCAGACACACAGGCCGCAGTGGAGTTGGGCTTGGTGCAGGCACCGATACCGCCACCCGCATACACAAAACAACATCTGAAACAAACTGGGCACGATATGGCGGAACATGAAGCGCGACAACTGGGACATCAAATCACAGAATTAGAGGAGTTGGAGCGTTACTATGCCAAGTGGCCCCACTTGGCACGTGTACAGTTTCAGTTGTATGATGAACATTTCCGCGAGGACCATCCTGAACTTTATCCAGAAGTAAAGGTCGACGCTAGCGGTTTGGCTGATACCGTAGAAGACTACGATGATGATTATGAGAGCGCTGCCGAGTTGGAGGAAGCGCAGAATAGTCATGATGAGGACGCAAACTTACCACCCTACATTAAGAAATACAACAGACGCAATAAGCAATTGCTGAATTTGCTTGAAGGCACTCTACCGCCACCGACACGCCTTCCACCAACTTTGGGGCGCAGTTGGTCGAGTTCAGTACTGCAGCCGGGTCCTCATGCAAGCAGTCGAAGCGCAGGTGGAAGCAGTACTGCGGGTAGAATACGCATTGATGACGACTATCTAAAAGAGAAACGCAAGCGCTATCATAATCGTGATATCACCAGCGCTGACAGTAGCAATATTGGTGCAAGTAACAATAATAACCGCAATGAAGACCGACATCACTATCAAGATTTATTTGCACAGCAACGACTGACGCAAATTACTACTACCCAGACGACAGGGGAAACAACAGGTCTGTTGATAAAATCTGAAGCAATCTCCGTCAACCCAGATGTAAGCGGCAAGTCAGATGTAATCAGCACCTATAAAACGGCAGCACAATCAAACAACCAACTGCCAGACGAAGATGTCAGCATTTCAACCGACACAGACATCGACGCTTATGCTGCCGACGATGGCGACATTGACTTTTGGCAAAAGGAAATCGAAAATAAATCGAATGCAAACGAATTGGCAGGAAGCGCACAAATGAGATGGCAAATCGAAAAATTAACAACACCCAACCCCGCGCACGCTGCCACTGTGTCGAGCACGCCAAAATCAGCAATTTTTCGTTTGCCCTCATATCCGGCCATCGCTGGCAGTTTTATCGGAAAGCCGCGCAGTCGTAGCGCGCAATTTGCACCAAGTGGCGGCAGTCGTGGCAAACTAGCGTTTTTAGCGCCAGCTAGTAGTGAACTTAACAGTAACAGATGGGGCAATATATATGGCCTAGGCGGTGGGAAAGTTGCAAGTGCTCCTGGTGACGTTGGATTCAACGGTCTTGGCTCACGCGGCAGTTACCACAAATCGTTGTCACGTTTCAGTGCTTACAAACCGAGTGTTTATAAAACGCTAACCGCTGCAGCAGCAGCCGCTTCAACCACGACGATGACTCCCAGAGAAAATGGTGATGATGGCATGAATGGTGACGACTCGGCAGCCACAACAACTTCTGCGGTTGCGGTAACGCCGAGTGGCTTTGGTAGTGATGACGCAGATGGCACAGATAGCGCAGAAAGGGGTGTTGATAATGCCGTTATGGGACGTACCATTAGCTCGTTTGTCTACCACCGTGTGATTGATGCGTCACCGCGACAAGTGGGTACCGGTAATACGGGACGCAAGCAACGTTTGCCATTTGTGGCTATCACTGATCGTCGGCTGGAGACCACAAAGAAGGCGCAGCTAGAGCGACAGAAAGATTTCGAACAAAATCACTACCCAATGCCTTAAATTCACTGCACTTCAATGACTGCGGCAGCGAAAGAGACGTGGACGGAGACGACCCGGACAAGTAGCACAAACATTCACACCAGGACCGAAACGCAAACGATAATAAAAATGTTGACCAAGACGACAGTGTAGATGGAGATGTAGAAAGTAAAAAGAAGAAAACAAAAAACGAAATCAGTAAATAGTATTAACAGATGTTTAAGACAGGTGAGGAGTAAGTAAAGCATACAGTGTTAATCCATATCAGAATGAACCAAGCGCAGAACTATTGCACCAACGCTGCATAAGCTGGCAGCGCAGGGAAAATGCCACCAAAGCAAACAGCTTGCACAATTCCACACACACAGTTGCACCAGAGCATCACAACAATTTTATTTTTTACTCAATCGATTTATCTTTCTGTTCTGTCAGTACTAAATATACTTGTATATAATATTTTGTGTCTAATTTAAACAATAATAGTTGTATGTTAGCTGCTTTGAGAGGACACCAACGCTTTGTAGTAAACACTGACTAACGGCACGTTATTTTGATATCTTATTTTTTTGCTACACTTCGTGTTTTCCTCGTTTTTTAATCATTATTTCTAACGCTTAACTTTTAAATTAGACGACAACTACGGCACTATAATTCACTTATAAATTATTTGCTAACATAAAATATATACATACTTATTTTACTACATATCAATACTCGTACATTCTGCGGGTTACCAGCAATGTTACATTAATATATGCAAGGATGCTGCAGGCGATATGCGCCAAAATAAAATATTTTTAGGTTAAATTTGAATTTATGTATCTCAGCCCTGCACGTCAAATATTGTCCCGATCGTTTGACCCGTATTACTTCTCGCAAATGTTGCATAACTTCCTTGTAGTATTCTTTATTAATACCACACCATTGTAATCAAAGAAAACAGTGAGGAAAACCTTCCCATTTGATCGAACTTGGCGAGCTTTTTCGGTCTTGGTTTATCTGGCAGCTTCCATTGGGATGATTGGGCTTTTGTTTCGACGTCAACACCATATACCCACGTTTCGTCACCACTTCTGACCCGTTTGAGCAAACCCAAATCATAGTTGACGTCATTCAACAACACTTGAGCGATACTTTCGGAACAGACTTCGCTATATGTAACTCTTACACAAGTTTAGTTTTTGGTAGTTTTTCATGAAAATATATTGCTTCATTGTGCTAGAACTTCATCACAAATGAAAGAGTGACAGTAACGTTTCCACGACAGTCGACTTTAAATAACCGCAATAGACCTGTACTTAACAGTAAAGAGCAGTCACCTTGGTACTCAATATAGAGGAGAATCAACTTCTTATCTCATGGCCCCAAAGAATAGGAAATATAGTTACTGAGTTCTAGATCGAAGTACTTTCACATTGAATAAAAAAAAAAGAAATGGCGGTGAACTGTTTACATACGATTTTTAAGAAGAACGTCCTTTGGGATGAAATACGAAATTCTTCTCAAACAACGACCTTGCAGTCTATATTAAACATGGAAAAAGTGATAATTGATATGATCTTGCAAAATACATACCTATATGCAAAAATCATCGAAAAAAGTTCCAAATATTCTACAACCCTCAATTTTATTTCTTTAAGAAGAAGAAGACAAAAATTGTTGACAATATTCAATATCTGTCATGAGGGACGGTGTTCAAGTTCTAACAGTGTAGAATTCCATAACCTCGAAGCCTGTCTTTCCATACTTTGTCCTCGGGTTCTCATCTCGAAAAGGCTGGAGAAAATTAATACAATTATCGCATTTAATTTTTATACTCTCGCAACCTGTTGCTACAGAGTATAATAGTTTTGTTCACCTAACGGTTGTTTGTATCACCTAAAACTAATCGAGTTAGATATAGGGTTATATATATATAAATGATCAGGATGAAGAGACGAGTTGAAATCCGGGTGACTGTCTGTCCGTCCGTCCGTGCAAGCTCTAACTTGAGTAAAAATTGAGATATCTTTATGAAACTTGGTAGACATGTTTTTTGGTGCCGTGAGACGGTTGGTATTGCAGATGGGCGTAATCGGACCACTGCCACGCCCACAAAACGCCATTAATCAAAAACAAATAACTTGCCATAACTAAGCTCCGCAATAAGATACAAGACTGTTATTTGGTACACAGGATCACATTAGGGAGGGGCATCTGCAGTTAAAACTTTTTTTAAAAAGTGGGCGTGGTCCCGCCTCTAATAGGTTTAATGTGCATATCTCCTAAACCGCTAATGCTATAATAACAAAATTCACTAGAAGCAAATGTTTTTAGCACTTCTATTTACGGTGTGAAAATAGTTGAAATCGGGTGGCAACTCCGCCCACTCCCCATATAACGGTACTATTAAAAACTACTAAAAGCGCGATAAATCAAGCACTAAACACGCCAAAAATATTAAATTTTATCTCTGAGACGGTATAAATTGGCTTTATAGGAACCGCGTTCAAAATTAGTCAGTGGGCGTGGCACAGCCCATATCTTGAGATCTGCTCAACCGATTTCAATCAAATTCGGTGCATAACGTTCTTTTCATGTTTCTATGTCATAGTGCGAAAATGGGCGAAATCGGACTACAACCACGCTTACTTCCCATGTAACACCATTTTCAATTCCATCTGATTCTTTCGCTTTCCACTATGCAAATCAGGTAACAATGATATGTGGACCCCAGTGCCTATAGTTGACCTTCTACCGAAAATATTTGACTTTGCGAGAGTATAAAATGTTCGGTTACATCCGAACTTAGCCCTTCCTTACTTGTTTGACATTATATTTAATCGGCGATATTTTCCAAAACTATTTGGGTATTGTCAGATGCCGCTACAACAACAACTTAAATACTTATAGCCTTGTGTATATATATATTTGATGTAAATCCGTGAGTATGTCATAAGTGTTTCATAATCAGTACTGGAGATAAACAAACCACATCGGCTACGCAAGGGCTTAACAAATGCGAGTGCATATTTACCTATTTGCCATAATAGACAACATCTATAGTTTATGTAAGAACAAATAGGATGTATGCAGACGCATTAGGGTTCACATGAATTATTAACTTTACAATTTGACAACTAAATGCATAAATAACGGAACATATACAAATACACATGCGAAATGACACATTCAAAAGTGGCTCTTAACATATTGCATCTTACAGATAATCACAATTGAGTACGTTATTTATACAGTACTTATGCATGCGTGTATGTAAATATATGCATGTAATTAGAAATATGTATTTCTTCTCAAATGACTGATTCAATTCAAACTTTGAATATCCCAGTGGTATCATATATGGTAAGTAACGATTTCCTTTATCACAGACTTTCGCAAAGGAAAATGTAATGATTTGACATCTAGTTAGTAATTATATATGATAAGAGGTGAATTACTTGAAGTATCGCCTAGAAGAGAAAGCCCATGAACAAAGTATGTTCTTCAAAAAACGTTAACACACTAAATAATGCTTAGGCTCAAAACACACAGTTTTACATCTTGGTCTAGGCGGCGTACGCAATTGAGTTTAAGTGCTAACTTAGTTTTTGTAAGTTATCCTGCTTCATATTTGAAATATTTATTTTTAGAAATTTCAGATTTAATTTGGTTGACAAGGCTTTGATCATTTTTTAGATATCTATCAAAACCCAATTATAGGGCCACTTTTTAACATTTTCTGAAGTGTGATAAGCGCACTGGCCACTGGCACCACTTGTACTTAATCGGATGGACAATCAAAAACATTCGAGACTTAATTCAGCTCGTCATCTTGACTGATTTTATAATCTTATATCCCAACTAGAATAAGAGTCTTGTCTAGTCTACTTTGCGCAACAAAAATTTCGTAATTTAATATTATCAACAGACAAGCCTAACACGACCATTAATGATTTCTTGCAAACATTTGGTAAACAGTTCAAGAGTAAACTGCATATACAAGTAAATATTAATTACTCACTTTTGAAGTAGAAAGACTCTTTTAGCTCGGATATATGGCATGAAGCCGAGGGTAGGTGAGGTTACTAGTGACTCCTCTTATAAAGTTCTCCTTTAAGCTTAGTAGTCAATTCGGAAGTTTAATTTCCTCTCGGCCAAAATATAATCCTTCACAAGCATATGTGATGACTACACACATACGGCGGCTATGTTGATGGAAGGGTCCAGTTCCTCCTTGAATTTATTAAATGGAATAAAAGAAAGGGGAATTCAGCACTACATTCCTAAGATCTATTATAGAAGGGCTTAACTTAATTTAGCAGTCAGCTACAAAGGAATGCCTTTGGCGGCTATTGTGTTAAAACTCAGTCATAAATCATAAACTTTCACAGTCGTTCGAAAGTTTTGATTGGTTATAATAAAAATGTAAGTTTTAGGCTCGAAATATTTTACTTTTCTGTAAAACAGGTTTTAGATCTCATGCTTAGTTTGGCAAAATATCAGAAGAAATGTGCAGCATATAGAAAAACAGTGCTACCAATTGCTTGCTTCCAAATCGAGTTCACATAAAAATATTGAATATAAAAGACAAAAACTATTAAATTACCTATGAAGCAACACCAGAAAATTCTATAAATGGCTCAAAAATTATGTTAAAGCAAATTTCGACAGCGCTCTTGTTATTTAGTCGCTTTCTCATCATATTTTCCCTTCTCTTTAAATGTCTCACAAAATCCAAAATAAAAATAAAGTTGAGAAGAAATAAATTTCCCATGTGAAACAAGCAGAAAGTTTAGAAAGTTAGCTTTGTACATGTGTAACATGATCCCTTGGCTGAGGTCTTTCTTGTCATCGTAAACCTTTTATAAACAATTAAAGAAGTCAACGATCTAATCCACCAGAAACATGCAAATGATTTGACAATTAGCCTACATAGAAACTTTCTTACGAGACTCTTTTCTATTCGCAAGGTGCTTTGACATTGTTAGTGTAACATTACCTGTTAGGAGGAGAGGGCTTTACGAAAACAGTTCATGGAAGCGCGGTGGAAGTTTTATATTAGATGTTGAGCTGAAATCGATTAAACATCAGTGTCAATAAACTTTATAAACAGTAAATTAATTGCATTATCATATACTTGCAAAAGTGTTTGCATTTAATTACACACTCATCTATCCTAGTTAAAAAAACACACATACGCAAAAATCATTTTACTTCATGTGAAATATTGTCTTGGTGTCTGCACAAAGCAATGGCAACCACGGCAGCAAAAGCAATAAACCCAAACAACTACATAAACCACACGTTTACATATATTAATTGCATATTAAATATCAATTAAAGATTAAAAATATTCATTGCGCACAAAATAAAAACATGGATCATAGTTTATCAATGGTAGCGCATTGACAACGCATACCGCAGAACAAACGTTTTTATTGAAGAATATTTTAAATTTTTTCAAAACGCTGACAGCTGAACTGCGTAAACTGAGGCGTAAGCACAAAATAAAATGACATAAAGCGTCAAATATTATTGCAAAAATTTTCATTTTAAAATAATACAAAGTTTTAAAGCAAAATAGTCTGCAAACGAAATATAAATATATGAAAAAACAATAAACATTTTACATACGTAGCTATATACATATATATATTGTTTTCTGCTCATTAAAGTACCCAAGTGTAGATATGCAAGTAGTAATCTGTACGACACATCATGAATACGTTTTTTGGACATTTGCGAGATAGTTGTGTCATTTGTGCTATTAGGTGCATTATCGATTGAACCTTTTGCAAAATTTTTTTCGGTCTAATTCAGCAAAAAACTTAAAAGCGCGTTTAATTTAAGTAACATATCGACGCATAAATAATTCACATATGTATGTGTGTCCTGCATACAAATGAAAAGTGTGTAAAAACTATAGAAAAACAGAGCAAAAGCCATTATGTAAAATGTAAGCTATGGCTTTATGTTCACTTAAGTGCATTCATTGTATGTACGAGTATGTTATACATATTAATTAGTCATTATAAACTTATGTTAGCAACTTTTATGCGCAAAAAATATAATAAATATTAATAATAATAAGTGAAATATTGGTTTTGTGGATTTTTTGTGCCAATACACCTGTAGTCCCAAAGGTAAGTATGTTCTTTAAAATGCGTTTCAGTTGTTCATTTAAATTTTAGTGATAAAAGTTGAGCCCTATAGTACACTCGTATAGTGGGGGGTATAGACAAGAGTATTCTAGAGGTCGCTTCTTAAACAATTTAAACATTCATTTTTTGTATTTCTTACTACATTTGTGAACTGTTTACTAGTTATGAACATTTAAGATTCGATAATACACATATTACAATAACTAATAAAACCGTGGATGTAGTTTTTTTCCCCACAAAAGCATACATCGATTAAATATTTGTTTTACAAGTTATGCAAAATGTCACAGTGTATCCAAAAGTTTTATTAAGACCTCTATTGCGGTTTTCTACCCAACTGCATTTTGGTTGAAGTTTTGAAATTCGGTATTATGGTTATCAACTCTGTGTTGGTGGGGTTGACTAGGGAATCAAAACATTTCAACTGCTACCAAGCAGTTGTAGTTAAATATGAATGAATTTATTTAGGAAAAATATTAATAGATAATGGAGAATGGGTAAAATAACTATTTTATTTATAATTTTAAAGTATTTCAATTAGTTATTATGTACAAATACATAGAAAGGTGGAAAATTTGTTGAGCTCGTGGAGTAAAATTTCAAAACTGGACGAGGCAAGGTATAATTTGGAAACAGTTAAAATCAAATTAGGGAACCGTGGGTAGTATTTCGAACATAAATATTCGATAAAATATACTACTCCTAGGAATATACTTTTTGAGCAATATTAAATTTTTGAAGCGTTTTACTCCACATTACACACACATTACGTTACAATAATTTGCCCTTCCTGGATCAATGAAGAACAACGAAATGCAATTGTGTGTACTTGCTTAGTACAAAATTGCATTGTGGACAGAAACATAAGAATTTTTCCAACTGCGTTTGTAAGGATCACAAACATTTTTTTCTCTAAAGAAATTTTGCTTTAATTTTGCAAAAAAGAAAACAAAGATAAATCAGATACCATGCAGTACTCATTAACTTATAGTCAAATAAGTGATATCCTTTATATTGAGTGAAATCCTTTATATTGAGGAATGCCAGGGTCATGGAGCTCAATTCCCCCCCTTTTAAGGGTAAACCTATTGCACTCTCGTGCACCCTTAAACATCTTGAGTTCAATTCTAGGAAAACTATTTTTATTTTTTTGCAAATTAAAAAATGTTCAATTGCGTACATTTCAGTTAATATCGATCTTTTTAATGTGTCAGGTCGTGAAATAAGAAAAATGAGTACTCAGTATAGGAAACGTTTTGAAGCAACCTTTCTAACGAAGCATCCCAAGGATCCGCACTGCACAGTATTTAATTATGAGTTGTACATTTGTGAATAGGTGGTCTGACCATTTTGGAGAAATTTAACATTTAAGTAGCCAGCATGTTTTTTGATACTTCTCTGCTCTGAATTTGAGGATAAGCAAAACCATATTATTATCCTAGATTGGCAATCACAGTCACCAGATGCCAATACAATGAAGAATGTTTGAGTTTTAATTAAGAAAACATTTTACAAACACTTGTCAACAAAAGATTTCATTCGGCTACCATAACATACCTGGAATTAGCTTCTTTAGAAATATACGGAAAATTTAGTTGCAAATTGTCATGAAAGATGTCAGGCAATAATAGACAACTCGGGAGATTGGAGCAAGAATTGATTAAACGTCAGCAATAACAAAACAATATATTTTCTATAGTTACAACATTTTTCCTAATAAACGCTACCTACACTTTGGAACTCAAAAACGTTATTTTTGAACGCACGGTATTTCCTTTAAAAGGAAAATGAAGAAAATTACCTTTGCGATTACCTTATCGATTGCATAGACGGACGGACGGACAGACTGACAGATAGTCACTCGTATTTCAACTCGTCTTGTCACCATGATCATTTGTATTGTATATAAAGAGTTAATCTATCCTGATTATTTTTAGATGATAAAAACAAACATTAGGGGAACAAACCTATTATACTCTATAGCAACATGTTACGTGAGTAAGAAATTACACTTGCCAATAGCTTAATGCAACCGTTCTCAGTTACAAATTTTTTTTATTTCTGCAGTTCAATATATATTTTTTTAAGATCTATTTTGTCTACAATTAGAAATTGCAATTTATATTTTGTAAGCGAATAAATAGATCGGTATTTAGAAAGACGATTGTAATATTGAAATTGTGGATAATATTAAAGCGATTTTCGAAAATATGACGAAAATTTGATCTTTGGCCCTCACAGAACCACAGAACCAGAACCACCTATATTCAATTACTTGTCAGTCACTTGACATCACACAATTAAAGCACTTCAATAATAATTAAACGCTCTCAAGCCAATTAAAGTTTCGCAACTCGTGCTTTAAAATGAACCACTCGAAATACATTTAAATGTCATTGAATATTTAACTGCCCAAAGTCCCTACATATACGAGATTGAACAATATACTTGTAATAATATATACTGGCTATAAGCTAGCCACAAACAACGAGTATGCCACTTGTGCCACTTGTGCCACTTATATCACAGAGTTCTCCCAGCGACTTACCAAATGGCCTCTTGGTGCACGTTTTAGTTGTGCCCCCTAATTAAATTGCAATGTTTTGCAAATTGTATACAAATCCAAGCGTGTGAGTGCAGTGGTTCCTGTCTGATAAAGCGATTATACATACATAAATTATTCACAAGCTCTGTGGGCGTGGAAATAGAATCTAATAAAAGCAAATGAGTGGTAATGAATTGCAATGAAACGTATTGAATTAAAATATACGTGCAATAAATTTCGAAATATTCGCTTACATAAGCGAATGCAGTGGCCGTATAAACAGTTATTCGTACACGTTTATGTAAGTTTACTTGTATCTATAACTAACTTGTATTTTAAATATTTGCATCCGTAGCAACATGTTGCACAGGCATATCCCAACTTTGTTTAGAAACGTATTTTATGTAAGAAAGGCTCAGAAGCTAGGGTAGTATTCCTCTTTCGCTTTTTTTCCTCAGTAAAAGGCTTAGTTTACTAACGTTGCAGTTAAAATAGATTAATAAACTTAGAAATATAATGTATAATATCAGGGATTCTACAAACCCAAAAAGAATTAAATTAAACAACTAAAACTTCGACTTCGAAATTTACGAATCAATATACTTAGATTGCTGAGCATGCTTAAAGAACCACCGAAATAACTTACCAAATAACCGCTATAGTGAAAATACGAGTCAAAGTTTAATAACCGATAAGGATAATTTCACACTAACTTACGGAAATTATGCAAAAATTCAATCCATTCGAGATTCATAATTTCCCCTTTGATCCCCCATCTTTTTTTTGGCTTATTTAAAAAGCAAAGTTTAAAAGTTAAGACCATCACTGATGAGCGCACGGCACTTACAACAGATGTTCAAAAAATTAATGAAAAACGCAACCAAAGGAGCTCATTCGGCCTTTGATTGATGATACATTAAGACATAGTTCAATTAAATTATAACGGTTCACATCAGACAAAGCTATCTTAAAGTTAAAAGCCGATTACCTTAAACAGGGCATATTAGGTATGCTACGAAGTTTGTAACACCCAGAAGAAAACGTCGGAGACGCTCTAAAATATGTGTATATATAAATGGTCAGCATGACGAACTGATTCGATTTAGACATGTCCGTCCGTCCGTCTGTACGTAGGTCTATCCGCGATAACTTCTGTAAAAATTGAGATATCTTGATGCAACTTGGTACAAGCTTGGTATTGCAGATGGACGCATCATTGCCACGCCCCACAAAATTAATCAAAAATCTATAAAGTGGCATAACTAAGCTCCACAATAAGATACAAGGGTGTTATTTAGTACAATGAGAGCGTGTTGTACATCTCTGTGATAAAATCAAGTGAAAACTTTCCCTAGACTCCATATAATTAATATCAAGATTTTCAAATCTTTAGTTGACTTTATACCGCATATCTGTATTAGCGATGGTATGTGAGGTACCTTAGTGAAGCACAAGGAGTAACTTTTTTCTCAATAATATGTAGTAATATGTAAAATCGGGACAAAATAGGATCAATACTACCCATATACCTAATTTAAAATTTCAAACTTCCGGTTGGCTTTGTATATATAGGTCAATATATAAGATATCTTAGCAAAATAAACTGAATGTATAATATTTCATATTCTATAGTTTAATACCAAAAATATGTGAAATTGGTCCACAATTACCCAAACTCTCTTTTACTATATATAAGAACTTTCGTTATGCCAACAAAGCTTATGCCGTATATGTCGATCAGTGTAGTAGTTATACATTTATAAAATTACTTGGAAATTGATTTCCGACTTCCCACCTGTCTTTAAACCGCTTACGTTCGTCAAACTGTGTGATATTTTATATTAATCATATTTTATAATATTCATAATATTTTGATTGTAATTTTGTCAATGAGTATTGAATTTATTCGCATTTTAAAATAAAGTTTTGCCAAACCCTGGTTGCAAGAATATGAAATGTTCGGTTAATCCCAAACATAGCCTTTCCTTACTTGTTTTTGTATTTTTTATTATTTTGATGATTAAATATCGACATAAAAGTTGTAGAAGCCGTTAACAGATCAACGTATGTATATGTAAATTTAAGTAAGTCATATAGAGAAGATAAGTACGTACTAGTAATAGTTCTACAAGTACTTACAATTTTAAAATCAATAAAGGCTTTAATGTACATTTTTGTGCTGGGTATAAAATGGTCGGTAATGCACAAACTTTATGTTGAAGTTAATTTGATTTTGCATTAGCATAATAAATTAAACTTAAATTAAATTAAATAGTAAACGATTTCAACGCTTAAATGCTGTGGAAATAATTTGTTGCACAATGTGTCATAGAGAAAATGTGCTCATATAAATATATATAGATATATATCGGACTTCAATGCAATGCTTT